TCTCTATACAACACTATTGTTACTGGGAATAAGAATGACATTGTATAAAAATCTGTAATAGCCTAACATTTTTTTGCATGGTGTAACACCGATGTTATATTGAAATTTTTTAATTTAAATAATAAATTGTTACACTAAGAATTTTTTACTTACTTTTAGAGTAACATATGAACGAAAATACATCAATAAGAATTTTTATTGGCGTAATAAAATGTCATGATAATAATAAGGGTTCAATATGTTGTAGAAATCGATGTTCTCAACAATTTCTTCCTCTTACAAAAGTTTTAGACTCCTTTAATTCCGAGATATTCATAACAACCGCCGGATTTACTCTGGAAGGATTTTTTATAATTATGACGCAAAAGTATACATAGTTGAGGGAGATGCTGCACACATGCGAGCATAGCAGGCGCGTTCGCCACTTGGCAATCTGTTTATATCTACTAGAAAAAATACTGCCCCCAGATTGCACAATCATTGCTGGTATGTATATTTTTGTTCCACATCAACAACTCAGACATCAAGCTCAAATTTTTCGTTTCCACTTACAGTAAACGAAATTCATACACGCACACTTAATAAAGTAAAGAGTTTGGGGTTAGAAAGGTTCTAAGTTCAAATAAGATTAAATAACAATGAGAAACACACATGAGCAAAAAACAATTAAAAGTTGAAATTATATTGAAATTATAAATGTAATGTTTTGTATGACCAGCATTATTTCGGATTAAGCTAAGAATTCGATTCGATATTGAACTACAAAATCGTTTATTTTACAGTTAAGAATTCCTTTTCAGCAACGTTTAATTTCTTCTAGCAAGTATTGTGTTTCAGGGCAGGTCTGCATACAAACCCTTACAAGACTGTTCAGTGATTAAAACCACACGCGAAAGTATTTAGAAGCATGAATCGCTGCGTTGTCTTGCTAGTATATAAATTCCCATTGACCAAATATATCCTTTGGAAATGATATTAACGTTATCAAGCATTTTTACAAATTTTTGTAATTTTATTTGACTGCAAATGAAACCGAGTTTCGACTCAACATAAAAGGAAAAAACTCCTCGAATAATGAAACTTACCCCTAACAATTTCTGTAAATTAAAATTTACAGTCACTTTTATTATGGAGATTAAATCAACAGGGGTCACACCCTTCTGGGTCAAATAAAATTAAATTATTTTTCACTTGAAAAAATTCGTCAGACTAATATACATATCTTTTTTATAAAATTGAATCGAATAGTTTTATGGTGAGAATGCATCGACTTTTTTGCGGTTTTTTATAAACAACGTTTGTCATATCATGCAAAACTTGTTGCATTCATCGCACATTTATAGGTAACGTAGTTTTAAGTTTTACACCAATTTAATGTACACCTAATCTATTTTTTCTTACTTCAATTAGAATACTGTTTCTTTCACACTTTGTTATTTCCGCATTTCTTCTTGTAACACGCTTCTTTTTATAATTTTTATAAATTTAAAAAATCCTATTTAAAATTCAAGGCGGTTAATTTCCTTTATAATTCCTCTCTTTCATACCCCTTCCTTTTTAAAATGTGTAATTATGGCGTTTTCGCTTTCAGTTAAACATTTTTCTTTGCTATTTCTTACTATTCTGTTAATAAATAAATATATTATCAAACTATAAATACATAACAACAATCTGAAAATTTACTTTGATAATCTCTGTAAATATCGGTAAAAAAATAAACAATTTTTATATGAATTTTGCAATCCTATACTTACTGCATATGAATAAGATTTTTCATTGTTCTTACGTATACAAATTGGAAACTGCGACACATAAATAATATAGGATAAATAGAATATACCATCGTAACCATATTATCTGTCTTTTACTTCCAAATAAATGGAAAAAACTGTAAATTTAGAAATACCTTTACAAGAATTTCGCTCACAATACTGATATCATATCTTGCAAAATATAGAAATGATTTTTATGGAGATAACAAAGTTTTGTAAAATTGATATTAGCAAAACTAGTTTTTTCGAGATAGGAGTGCAGGTGGAACATCTCCACGGCCCGTGCTTTACTCGATGATTTCCAAGAATCATTCTAATCCGAATTCGGCGGTTTTTTTATAAATATCTCAGAAATTAGAAGAGCCTGACATTATTGTAAACAGGAAAAGTTATTCAAAATACCGACTTCTTTAACATATTTAAAAATCATCAAATTGATAAATTATCAAATATCTTAAAAAATATCTTTAACCCTACTGTGGTCCTCAGTTTTCTTATATATTTGACGTATTATTAAAACAGTAGAAATGCATAACTTAGTTATAATTTTCTTGTACTATTTCTAAATTTAAAAAGATCCTTGACAACATAAAAACGCAAATATATTACAAAAGGTTAAACAAACAAACACGTGACTAGGTCAAATAAACCTGAAGAAGATGGGAGGATTAATAACATACATACGTGAAGGTGAAGGTCAACGTCGTCCATTAAAATAAATATTTACTCAGGATATTTATTAATGATATATTACTAATATAAACTTTAATTTCTTGCTTTAAACTTCTCTGTAATATGGAACTTTCCGAAACAGTCGTTTATACACATATGCAGGGATGCTTATTCGAATATGTGCCACAGTAATAAATAACACCTTTCCTGCCTTATCTTCCTGTTTGATTATAGTACAATTTCTGCACATTCGATCATCATCATGGCAAATGTTGTGCATATGATTTTTGAGGCATTATAAAATTTATAGCCACTAGTAAATACAGAATTCTTTCTAATTGTATTAGATGTTGTTATATAAAAGTGATATAATATTCTTACATAAACAACCTACACTAGCATAAATACGGTAAATGTTATTGTTAACTTGAAAATAAATTAAATACTTAATTATTAGAAATATACTGCCCCGAACTCACGTCCAGAACAGTAAAAACGTTTTGATTACTAACTGCTGATACGTGTTAACAACAGTAAAAGTGCTTAGTTTGCTTTCTGCAAATACGCGCCCGTAGAAGGTTATAAACTACTTTATAAAATAAAGAACACAAAATACCTTGTAAGATAAAAATAATAAAAATTGAAGTATATTTTGTAATTTTGCGATAATAAAAAGACTGATATCTATGTACTTATGTATTGATTCCAAACAATTCATAGTATATAATTTGAATATTCATTTTTTCTTGTGCTGTGTGTAAAATTTCTTATGCTGAATAGTTTATAGTGATTTTGTGACATATTTTTAAATATTTTCACATGGTGGTATAAATTTACTATATACATGTTGTTTGTTAAAATGGAAGAAATATTTAATATGTAAAGATATATTACAATATTCATGAATATGTAAAACAATTTAAAAAAGAGTTAGAAAATTTCTAAGGATGTATAATACTTATTAAAAAAACAATATTCAGTTACTATAAAACTACAATAATTAAGTTTCATCGCAGTAAAACAAAATAAAGATTCATATCTGTGTCTATTATTTTTGGCTTAGAGTAGTAAGTTCGTATTGAAAACAAATTAATTATTTAATTTTCCATTCTTAAGTTGAGATATAATAACCTACCTATGGATTTAAGCTTATATTTTTGAACGCTAATTCACAGAAAATGATATGGAGCAAAAACTATTTCTTTTCGCTAAAAGCTATATTTTTAAATTCAAACACAGGAAAATGTTCATCAAAATGTATTACGTTTTATTTTACTAAACGCTTCGAACACACCACAAGAATACTACAGATGGATGAAGTCTAAAATCAAATCATGACATATTGTGCATGCATTTAAAGTGTAAATACTGATTTGAATAGTAAAAATGATAACATGCTAGATGCATGTTCATTTAAATCATTTATTTGTTTACTTTTATTATATCTTTTAAAAAGTTTTATTAAAGTTCATGATGTTTGAGTATAAATCCAAGATTATGGTTTTTGTGGATCATATAGGAATTGAGTACAATTAACGAGGAAAATATAATTGCTATCACTTTTAATACGAAATATGAATTAAATATAAAGAAACGGCTAAAATATTGTAAAATGTGAATAACAATATTTGTATTAGAAATTTGTGAGAACATACAACTGAACGTATTTCTTTTATTCCACCAAAGTTGTTTTATACTTCCACTTTCATGATAATATTTTTTAACAATTATGAACTTTGATTTTCAGTACCATTATAGTTGTTCTTCAAATGTGATAGTATTATAATTTTTCACATTTTTGAAAAATAAATGTTTTGAAATTTAGGTACTGATATAGCAACTTTTTTCGTGAAGATTAATATGAACAGTATTCATTTATTAGATTTAAAATTTAAATATTTACATATAATTTTAATATGTACATACATTATGATTAATTTATTATAAAATTTTCCTATTAATTCTTTGTAATTAGAATTATATTTAGATTATACATTATCATGTCTTGAATAGAGTTACATTATATTATTTTCTTATTATTTTTAATATTTAATAGGTAATAGAATGTCATTAACAGTAGTAACTTCTTTAAGTACCAATTAGTTAATATCAATCTTAATAAATAATTTGAGCACGCTTATGTATTACCTTAATTAGGAATAGGTGTAAATTTTGTTTTTTTTTAATTACGCTCATACTACTTATATGATTATCAAGAATATCGATAGAATATTTACAAAAATTTTATTTATTTCAATTTTCAATTTAAGATACAAAAGACAAAGTGTCTGTATCAGAAGTAATAAATACTTGTATAATTAATTGCTTGTATGTAATACAAGCATTGTATTAATTGGATAGTTTAGATACAATAACAGAAGTTTTCAATTAGTTATTTAAAAAGAAACTAACCTATAGTATCATAACATGAATGGCATTCTTTGTAAATACGGAATTGTTCCTACAAGTCACGACGACAGTGAGTAAAATATTACCGCAAACAAAGTATATATGACTATACTTCATTCATAATATTTAGACCGTTACGAACTTCGTAGATAATACAGTTCATTCCTATCTTTCAAACCGACTACACGTCGTGTGATATATCGCACAAATTAAGATTAGATTGAGTAAACGATAAGCGTAATGTGTTAGAAAATGTACAAAATTGTGATCGTTTGAAAAATCTTATCGCTTTATCTAACTTTCGTCATTTCAGTGCTAGTAAAAACAGTAATATTTAAATTTACGCACCTACAATGTCAAAAACGAATGATTACACAATACTAGTTTAAATTTAATGAGAAATTCTAAAAAAACGCTAAATGTTGGCAGTGTACAGTAGTTTCGCACAATTCGTTCAATTGTCTGGTATTATTTGAGGACATGTGGGTGGCTTACCACTTTCGACATCACGGCTGAGGTCAGTTTTTTCTTCAAGCGAACGTAGAGATTCCTAAACTTGTAAGTATCACTGAGAAAATTTTTAGAAAGTTCACTCGGAGATTCACACTGTTGCGGCTCACAATATAACTCCACACTGTAGTACGTCACCGTTATTTAAAGTTATATTTCGTCGAAGCGCACAGTTTTCACTCAACACTCCGTTGAACCGAGGTGTGGAAGAAGCGGTAGCAAAGCACAGATAATATTCCCGCAGAATTCTTTACACAAGAATCAACATCGATCGCTGATTTATGCGTTTGAATTCACAGCACTGACGATCAAGTGGCGTCGTCGTCGACGATATAATCAAGAAGAATGACTTTGGTGCTACGACCACAACGAAGACAACGATTACGACAGATTGCTCTGTGCGTGTGAAGAGATAACGACTAGCATGGAATAGGCGGTATTGGAGCCGCGTTACCCACACCACTAACCCACGAGAATTTCGCCGCGAGCAAAAGGCATGCTACTTCTTTGTCACAGCTGTGCGTCCATTATCGTTTCCAGACTTTGATACGAGAGAAAGTAACACATAGAAAACTAATTATTGATATTATTCATATCATGTTGATAAACGATGTTGCACGTGAACTTAGCGAAATTCATGGCGCTAAAGCTTTAGCTTTACGAATATGTGGTCATTTCGGGGACCGTGTTAACGCTACCATTAAACTCTCAATGATTAACGTAAATAAAACAATTATGGTTTTGGTATGAACACACGAGTCAAATGATATAAGTTGGAAAATATATTGTGTAAAGAAACAAATAACAATGCAAGATTTTGAATAAAAGTAGGCGGCATGTGAAGAGCCACTAACTTATCTCCTAAAATATATGTTACCAGAATCTAATGGATGGTACAACGAATAGTAGAGTAGCTTATGTGATATAAAAATGTATATTTATCAGCATTAGAAATCTTGGAAATTCCAAATATAAAAAAAGACGAAATTTTATTTAAAAGGTATACTACGATTGAAGGTGTATTAAATTTGTTTGATTAAATAATTGTGCAGATAAGTTTTTATGAACTCAAAACAGTATTATATCGTATTCCATGATTCGAATGATTATTTTTGTTTCGATTAATTTTTTGTAATATTATCTTAATGAAAAGAACGTGTTAAATAATACTTACTGGAAAAAATTTTTATTCTGAAATAAGATATTGTTTCCAACAATATGAAGAAATATCGATTCTGTAAAATACAACATAAATGTTTCGTCATAGGTAGTTAGCAATTATCGGCACGTGTTAGATACTGTAGAGGAAAGAATTAAGGAGTGAGAGAGATCATGTGCGATTTTCAGAATTACCTAGGAGTAACATGACGTAAATCTAGGTGTGATTAAACAACGACTCCTGGTAGAAGCTTATGTGACTACCAATAGTCTTCAACTATATAACAATTATATATAAACTAAGATTAGCACAATACATTTACTAAAGTTTATAAAAGACAACAATACAGACGATGGCATGCGTGTAAATATGAGTCATACTGCATATTACAAAACATTTTCAACGAAAGGTTAAAAAATACGTGCAGTTGCGGGTATCATGACTAAGGTCACTGATCGTGTTATACAATAACATTGCGGCAAGATAAAATTTGCGATTTTCGAAGAAGGTCCGAATTTCTTTCTCGTGACCGTACATTTATAAATGTACCAATGCGAAAAATACGCGTGTATTACAATGTAACGTGTAACCGACATGATACTGAATATCCAAACAATCACATTAAAAACTTAATATTTTTAAGAAATCTTTTTAAGATATGAAATAACTATTTTTCTATTTGATACAACTTACGCAAGAATAGGAATTAGGAATTTCGTTTCTTTCACAGCATGGATTCAAAATTTAAGAGTAATATTTTTGCATCTTTTTATTAAATCAGGTTAATCGTTGCGTTACTTCGTCATTTAATCGATAAAATTAATTTTGTAATTTATTTTTATATAAAATAATACAATTAGAATTATTATCAGCTATTATTTTTTTAAAAGTTTTTTCGAAAACGCTACTACGATATAAAAATTTATATACGTTACAAAGTAATCATTTTTTTGCATAGGATTTCCATACTCACTGGCATGAAGTAAAATATTTAAAAAATTTAAGAATGTAGAAAAAGTTTACGTAGATGTTATTTAAGAAAATTGCAATTTATTAACTGTACTTGATTAATATTAATTATTAATATTAATTCAACGAATCAGCGAGTAGTACGGTTATAAATCTCTGAAATCATTTTAAATGAATAAAAATATTTTTTAAGTGTTTCGTGATGATACCACTCAGTTTTATTTTTGCAGTTACTTTAAATTAGATTCAAATATTTCTTCTGTATTAATAATTTTGTAGTGTAACAGTTTAGATTTGAGATAGTTTAATACTTCATTTATGGTTTAACTGGTATTGAAATGATCTTTAATCTACCAGTATATAAAAATATAAGAATAAAGTTATCAACGCGAAAGATATTGGTAATTGCAACATGTTGCAAAATGCAGATTTAATGTTCTCATTCATGATTTTTTGCAATAAAGCGGTTATATTTCTGACAAATATACGTTCAGAACTTCTGTTTATGTAGTCTATATATGTACACAGTTTAATCTATGATATGAACTGGGTAAATACTGAACGTTTTTAATCGATAAATTTTTTAAAATCGTAAATGCTTTTTCAACTGATCAATGTATTTTGAATTTTCTACAAGTATGATGTAGTCTAGAAATATAATTGAAAATTCTGATTGAAAATGATAAATATTTGTATGAAATCCTTACAATTTTATCAGCAATTGATATTAAGTGGATTGTAGCAGTAAACGGCAAAAGAGATACCCACTGTATCAACTGGTCAAACGAATCAGAAACTTAAGATACATACCCTAAGTCTGTGAGTGAACTAATTTATCGGTAGTGGTGAACCGTCGACAAAACAGATTCGTGGAACATATATTTTTATACATTTATATTTTCTCTACTTACAGATTCAATATTCAAAATGTTATTTAAAAAATTGCAATTTAAAGTAATAACACTTTAATCTTGATATACTCCGTTTCTGTATTCTTTAATACTCTATAGATAGCAATGAATTATAAAAAAAGCAACATGTCAAAGGTATGATGTCTAAAGTAAACAGAAAAAATCTTGGTACAGGAGTTTATTGTCGAAACTGCGTGGGTTTAACTCGTGAAGGTTACAAGAACGCTACACTCGCAGAAACGAACGTTATAAAGCAAAGAATGTAGTTATTTTTGCAAAGGCTGTTGTGACTGGTTTTAATCTGGCTAACCTTGGTTGAGATCTCGTTGAAACACTTTCTCCAAACAATTTGAAGAAATCGAAAAGCGATTAGCAATTACTAATTTTGGATTACTTATAACTTCCTCATATCAACATTGTTTAAAAAAACGATGTGAAACTTTTGGATTGAGTATCATGTTATACTTAAAGCAGAATTATTATAATTTACTAATAATCGATTTTACAAAAAAAATAGGAACAAATGTACTTGTCACGGGTTATGTTTGACGAAAGGACCCGACTAGAATTGATTGGATCTGAAATATTTTTGTCTTCAATTTTTTCATAAAACTTACATAAATGCACAGTATATAAGCAGAACAACAAAGGAAAACATGTGATATAAATATACAGAATGTTTCATTTAATTTAACAATTTGAAAATATCGCTAAACTGTCTGCAAATTATTAATTTCACACAAAATATGTCAAAAAAAGCTGCATGATTTTAAGGGGGATAGAAATTAAAAGAGTATTAAAAAATAAATATTAAGATATAACTGGTCTGAAACAGGTTTCTTGATATTTATTAAGATATTTCTAATCAAAATTATATTGTAAAGCTGTTCAAATTAAGCACCTATAAATTGTTATTGTTGACATATAAGTTTATAGTAGTTTAACAAATAACACGTAGTCATTCACTAGTCTATTTCCTGAGAAATTCTACTAACAATACATATTTCGATAAATGTTCACTTTAGATCTACCATATCTTAATACTCGTGTATTTAATTTTTAAAACTTTTACTCGTGACAAAGAATTATATGATGTTTTGTTTACAAAATTTACTGTACATAAAACATACTATAGAAAAAAGTAATTTTCTAACATACATTTCCTTTAAAATCATGCAACATTTACTTAATACAGATTTTTCTATAGCTAATTGTTTATGAGTAATTTCATATCATTAAATTAAATGAATCTCTACACATAATGAATGGTTATTTTGTCAACTATAATTATCATGAAATTGTTAAACAGTTGCTTAAAAAGTATTATTGAATGGAAAATGAAATATCAAATGATTTCAACGAATTCAATGAAATATTGGAAAATAAAGTTTTATCTGGTATTAGACAAACGATTTCATCTACTATTAATCACTTGCGCTACAATGGCGAGCTAGATTCGTCAAGAGTTACCCTCGGAGTAGAATCTTTAAAAGCAGGAGTCATTTCTGACCCTTCACTAATATGTTTTTAATTTACAAAGTATATGAACCTTAGAATTAAATATGTTGTTTTCTTCTCAACACTTTGTATTATGCACTGTCTTTTTCAACTTACATGGTGCTTTATTGCAAAATTTTTCATAATTAGACCGAAACGGAAAGAATTAAGAAAAATACCATTGTTACTATTAAATTTCATATTAGCAATGTAGTGTCCATACTTACGATTCTATAGAGTGCAGAATTCATCTATCCATTAGCTTCCCGCGAAATATGAAAATCGGCACGCAGTTCATTTGCTATTTCGATTTTATTTCAAACTATGAAATTCTATTATAGACGTAAAATATTATTTCATTGTTTTGTATGTTTCACGAATCAACGATTTTTAAGCATGTATATTAAAATTATTTACATCCTTGCATTTAAATATGGATTTTTAGAGAAAGATAAACTAAAAAAGCGTGATTTGGTTTAAACAAAATCATAATAATCAAAGAAAGAGTATGAAATCAGTCATACAGAAGTTTAACTCATTAAAAAATATGTAAAAAACATATAGCGCATAAAGAATAAATAAGCTCATGCATTTCTATGATATTTACAAATTGCAAACAGCGGTTACTTTGTTGTTTTACAGATGAATGGTGTAGAATTGGTGACACGTACCTAAAACAGACAAAAAAGTTTGATATTAGAATTATTTTATTTGACATTATAAAACACAAGAATAACACAGTTTATAAAGTAATATTGATTCCTATGTTTTATGGAATGTATGGAATTATACGATGTATGAAATATATATGCAATATTTTTTGTATGAGCTCCTATCATTAGTACTATTTCAACGCTGTTGATTTAGTCACGAGTAAATTTAATTCTGTAATTTTAATTTTTCATCTTTTTCAATTTCTTTAATTGTAGACATAAATTACAATCACTTATTACAAAGAATTTTTAGTGCATTTTAAAGATGAAAAGAATGAATGGATTTTAAAGTTGAAAATATAATTTCATTTTAGTTATATATAAATTAAAACTCCGAAATCTGACGTGCTCGTCTGTTACTAGAAAAATTGAATTTGACATTTCCAAGCGTATCTTCCACTTTTTTATTTGTGCAACGTAATCACGTATATAATATTACAACATTAGTTTATGTATGTATAAGATGTCCATTTCGATACGATTACCACAACACAATTAGGCACACATAGATACAATAAAACTCGGAGTAATTTGCACGTTTCCTATTAGCGGAAAAACTATCTGCTCGTCACTTTGTTTCCATCCTCTGTATTAAAGATTACAAAGAAACGGTGTAAACACTTTTTACGAGGCCTGCTATTATTAATGCAAGTGAGAAACGTACATCGTCAGGTATGAAAACAGAAATCATTTGCGGCTGCTTCCTCTTTTTCCGCGCCATCTTAAACTTCAGTTCACCGAAAGCGAATCCAACTTGGCAAATTCCACGTAGAAAGACACGCGTATGAACTAACCTAAATTCGAGGATAACGAAAGTCGTGCAAGAAGATACTAAACTGGGAACTCGAATCGCTGACCAGATGCGAAGAAAGGTATATGCCTTTGTTCTTCAATCACGTCAGGTCGCCCGGGTTAACGTTTGCATTCGTTAACTATGCTGATTTATGAAAATTTATGGAACACTACTTCCGTGATGTGACCGAAAAAACATTATATTCTTTTATGACCAAGGAAACAAATATATTTATGTCCCATCTTTATTGAAAGGAGAAAAGTTGGAACTGCACCGAATGCGACACGCTAAAATTATTGACTCATAGCAAATTTGATTAATAATGTATTCTAGACTCCTGGGTTAAAGTCTAAACTTTCGACTGGCTTCAGAAAATTATTATTTGATAATGGTACTTATTCTCCAAATTTATGGAATCACTCTGTTTGATCGCTTTAAGTGACAGTAAGATAAATAATCTTAATTTTGGTAGTACTTTTCATTTTCTTTTCTAGATGATGTCATTTTTTTCGTAACACAATCATACTAAGTCTAAGAGGAATTTTGAATGTGCATGCAATTATCGATTCAGAAATCCCCCTAAGTATTTTAAATATTATTGCTTCTACAAAGAGAAATCTGTCCCTTTGAGGGAGACGTATGTTATACAGAAGAGTATATTCGTGTATACTTACAATCGATAAAAGACAAATGCAATCAAGTAGTGTAATTTGTTAACTTCCAAATTTTGTATATGAACAAGAAAACTCATTAACTGCTTGATTGCACGCATTATGTATTAACATACAACGCACATAAAATTTTATTTTCGTGTATTAAATTATTATTTTGCTATGTCTATATACATGGAGTATCATTGATTTATAGAATTGAAATGAAACAATATGTTTCATGATATTATGTGCGTAATAGTTTCCGCTTTTCATTAACAACAACTTCAAATTTAAAAACATTTTTATTTGCTTACACTATGTTAATAGCTGTATGATTTTTCATTTTCTCTGAAGTTACCCAAATTCGGGATGTAAAAATGGCATAGATGCAACACAATCATGGATCGATTGTTTCGAATAGCTTAGTAATCGATTCTCATTTTCTTAAAAATGTACAAGGTTTATGACGAGGTCTCACTAAACCTTGGTTTATTGTTAGCTATAAATCATCGAAAATAAAACATCGTTGCCGTATCTGTTTTTACAAAAGCGTGTTTTGCCCTGTAGAACACGTCATTTGCCATCAGCTGATCCTCTACTACTGTTTGGTGAAAAGCTTTGACCTCATGGTAATCTTATCTATTGACTATACTTGCAGATACTGCAGTACTACTTGCGAAGGCCTTATGTACCGCAAGGTATTTTCTCGAACAACTGATTTGTCTAAGTCCATGGTCTGTTTTAATATTTAAATAGGTTTCTAGAAGAAGGGTCTATGGTAAATTTCATAAATTTCAGAGGACGACGGAAAAATAAAGTATTGGTCACTGTAGCGATTGGACGAAAAGTTAATGTAAAAAGAAAAATAATAATTCAATAATTACAAAATAATTTGTTACCTTGTAAAAATACAATGTTTTCGAAAGTAAAAATTACAAATTTTTTACAGCAAGTCTTTTCTTTTCTTTGCTGATGGACAATCAATTTTTGTACAAGATCGATAAATTATTGAGTTCTGCTACTTTACATCGCCTTTTGTCCTTTTTCACAAAAAACAACTTTTGAAAAATTTGTAACTGAGACTCTTCTGTTAGATACTATTCATTTGTTTTG